CACACCTGCCTAAAACTTTTGCACAGTACTCTTAGGAGCAGCTGTTCTCTTTGACTGATGTTTGACTTGCTAATCCTCTCTTACCTTATTTCAATATCATCTTGTGGTTTTCTGGGGTTTATTTTTCCTATTCCCTGAGCGCTTTATAAATTTTGTTTTGTTTTTTACTAGTTTCCTACCCATGGGTTTTTCTGATTAAAAAAAACAGCTTGTTTTTCACTAACAGTTCTTTTATTTCATTTAGGTCAGTTGTCCATGTCACAGATAAGTTTCTTAATTAAGCATTTCATTTGTACTGTATTCTACACATGCAGAGTTTTTTATGTACTGCTGCTCCTTTTTTTAAGCAAGACAGAGTCTCCTATAATTATATCTTTGTTGTTGTCATTCAGAATGAAGACTCAACTTGACCTGATGCAGATGGCATCTGGTCATGAAGATCAGCCAGAATGCAAACAAATACAGCTAGATACCAAATCTATAGTTAAGGATATTTTAGCCTTGACTCTCACTGAAGTTAACTTGGATGTGCTGAAAGGTAGGATGATACAGCTATTGAAATGATTCATATTTGTTTTTAAAGCTTTTCTTTATTATAAATAGGGATCTTTTTCCTGCTTGCAGTTATGTTTCAGTTGCCCCACTAATTGTAAACATGGAAAATGTAGCTAAATCTATTTCACTTAGATACTGTTATCAGTGTATAAGAAAATAAACTCTTTATTTTACCTTTCATCTTAAAAGCTGACATTCCTTCAGGAAATAGTGAACCTTCTATGTCTGCAAGCCCTGAAAACAAATGGGAGGATAAGAAAACTATACAAGATATGTTCTGTGTAAGTTACCACATGTAGTATATGGTAGCAGATTTTTCAGTTGCTCTATCAAAACAGTTTTTAATTTAAACATATATACTTTTAGCCAGTGCCGGGAGAAGATGTTTTGGAAAATGGCAGGAATATTCCAACTCAGTATATGTCAGTGTCAGCAACTACTAAATTTCGAAACATGAGTCATGAGGTAAGATTACATGTTTCGTCTTGATGCTTTTGTCATTTGTTTCAAATATAAACTGGGTGGCTTGTGTACTTGAAGGGCTCGTGGTATCTGTTTGGACACTATCCCTCCCAACAGAATTGGAGTGACTGTGCATGTAGAGACAGACCCCAATAAAATGTTCATATATTTTCTCTTTTCATCACAAAGCACATATACTTCCCACATTGCTTGGATCACATTTTGAAAACAGAAAAACCATGACTCACCCTATATTAATATAACCCTATCTTTTGCTCAGTGTTCTATACTTGGATACTTCTTTAGTAACACGTTATACAGTAAAGAATCCTTCAAGTCAGTTTTGACTCCTGTTGACTACATGGGCACTCCATGTAGTCATGTAGTTGGGTTTTGGGTTTTTTTGTAATAATACAGAAGTGGTTTAGCATTGTTACCTTTTGGGATTTTTTTTTTCCCAGCTTCCATTATAGCCTAAAGTTCTGGGATTTCCTGGTGGTCTCTCATTCAAATATTAACCATGTTCAGCCTAGCCCAACGTTTTTGAGATTACCCAAGGTTGGCTAAGTGCAATCGCCTGCTACATTTTAGATAAATCTGAAATGCTTGCAGAAGATAATTGTAAAACCAGTTGATCATGTTGAGAAATTTTTAATAAGTATGATGTCTTCTTCAATTTTAGGAATTGCGTTATATACATTACATGAAACGTGAAGTAAATTCAGATGAATTACAGACAGAAACTTTAAATAAAAGAAATACATTGCCAAAATTTTGGTTTTCAAAAAAGGCAATTTCAGGAACTGGCTTGTTTTGCCTTGGTGCTGAAGCAAATAATCAGAAGAAATCAAAAATGCAAGTGCTACAAAGACAAAGTGCCAATAGATGTAGTTTGTCTGATTCCCTTGGTTTTACATTCAAAACACAAACCCCAAACTTCAATTTTTGTCGCTCAGATAGTGCTTTGAATATATTAGATACAAAAGACACTCAAAATGACACCAAGAAAACCAACCTGTTGGAAAATGCCAATAGATGTCTTAAGACAGAAAAACTTTTGCCAACTCATGTAGAAACTTATCCTTCTAAAACCCAGTTTGCATTTATTGCGCACCCAAATGTATCTCAGACAGCTATACAACCAAAGGAGACTTCAAAGCCAGTCTCAACAGGCGTTACAGAGCATTTTTCAAATTCTGGTGCCAACTTTGCAGTATCGACTGCTTCATCTTTCCAAAAAAAAAAGTTAGTGTTGTCCACTTCCATTCTGGAAAATTCTAAAAACAAAGTTTGCAACATAAGAAATATAAATGGGAACATCTCTTCAGCTTTCTCTACTACAATTGCTGCTGCTGCTGCTGCTACTACTATTAGTACTACCACAGCCATCAGTTTTAAGCCAAACATAGTTACTGGAAAACATTTTTCCTCCCCTTTGCTTTCTGAAAATAATTGCATTCAGACAACTAAACTAAACATTTCAAAGCAGTCATCAATACCTAGAAGTTTCTTTTCAAATAATTGTACTTCGGCAGGGAATACTCCATGTATACATCCTTTCAAAGAAGGTTTCAGAAATAATGAGACTTTGATTTTTCCAGTGGTGCCTTTTAATAAAACTCAGTATGCACATAATAAATCAGAATTTAAATCAAAACATGCATTTGAAAAGAAATGTGTTTCATCCAGAAAAAATGTACCTGTGTATCATGAACAAAAAACATTAGTATGCCATTCTTCATTATTCTCCATGGACACATGTCTAAAATCTCAAAATGATAGTATTCTTGTTCCTCAGCAAAATATAGTCTGTGATTCATCTGCAAGCAGCACTTCAGTTTCCATTGAACATAATGAAGATAGCGATGTTTTAGAAAGTCAACCATTGCCTGTCCAAGAACGTAGATCTCCTTCAATACTTAATGAAACAAGTTGCACACCAAATTCAGATCCTGATGTCGAAGATGTAAGTCAGGTGTCCACTGCTAGTGACCAAAGCACTGCATCAGAATATTTTTCTGTTGCTGAAGATGTAACAACCCAGCTGGAGACTGAGCATGTGTAACAGAGTAAAGCAGATTACAGAGTATGAATGTATAGTTACTAATTTTCCTTCAGAGAAAAATGATCAAGTTTAATTTCTTTCCTGACATTTTAGTAGAATCAGATACAATATTTTGAAGCATAGTGCCCTCATTTTTTATTTTTCTCATATTTGAATGTAAAATATTAGCATTGTCATTTAGAATATTTATAATGGGCATATAGTTACAAGGATCTTCACTTGTGAAGTTTATATATAACACCCTGGTTTTGGATATGAATTTATCTTCAAAAAAACATCATTTATAAAGGCAATAATGTATACTACTTCTCTTTTTCTTATGAGTTGGCTTTACTTAGTCCTGATTGAAATTAGCCTTTTGTTGTTGTTACTCCTAGAGCCTGTGGCTTAATGTTAGTTTCCTTGTGGTTAAAATCCAAGGTAAATCAACATTAAATCTCATGTCTGTTTCCAGTACAGGAAATCATGCTTTACAGTAACAGATTGAACTTTCAAAGCCAACCTATGAAAGCTCTGAAGTTTGCTTCTCATTCCCAGGTTTAAAAAACCATGGTCTCTAAAGCTGGGGTATATACCTCTGATTTAGAACACTGTAATACTTTCGATTTTATTTTGTATCTGTTTCTACCATAGAAAGATCTTCCTTCCAGTCTCTCTGTAATAATTATGTATTTAAACTTTTGGTATATCTGCAAAATATCTCTTCCTAATACAATATGGGAACTCATGTTAATAGAATTCTGCTAAAAGCTGTTAGAATTAGTAATCTACCTGACTTGCTCAGCAGCAGAAATAATATAACCAGTATTTGGAACATGATAGTTCAATTAATTTAGAAGATAAGGTACTAAAATAAACTGCTTTATATATAATATCCAGTAATGTATTCTCTATGTCATGTTGAACATATTAATACCATATGGAATACTCAATTTTACAAAATAAATTCTAAAACTTGAATATCACTGGTATATTTCTCTTTATAAGTTTAAGAAAAATCATGAGTGTGTTTCAAGAACAAATGTATCCTTTTATCAAGGTGTTAATTGTAAACAATAAGATTGCAAATTCTATTTTCTCCATGTTTTGGATCATTGGAATTTTTTTTTTTTTTACATTGCTTAAAGGTTCTTATTGATCCCCTCAAACTGGGGGCAGGGGAACACTCTGGAATTTTCTTTCCAGTCAGCTACATTTTAGTTTTCAAAAACACCCCAAGCATTCAAAACATTCCTCATTTGAGGCCCTTGGTTATTTTGGTTATGTGTGATCTTTTATGTATTCATTAGCACTGAAAATAGTTAAGAATTGCTTCCAAATAAACCTGCATAACATTGCACTGTTAAGAGGTATAGCTGGTATTCCACTTTTCGCTCTCATGTTTGTTTCTTCAACAGTCAAGACAAAAACAATAGACAATTCCAGTAAAAAATCAGAAAACAAGCACTGGTAGGTGATCAAGGACTCACATTTGCTACACCCTTCCAAGCAGAAATTCCACTTGTCCTGGTTCCAATGTCCACAGAAAGAGCCAAGTTTGTAGTGCCTTTATAAAAAGCCAACAGGGTTGGATCCAACCATACACTGAGGGGAGGGAGATTGTTCCAAAGGGCAGGCACCACAATTAAGGTCCCTTTCTAGGTCCCTTCAGATGTTTCTTTTTAGGGCATGTGGAATAGGCAGATACCATTGAAGAAAGGCGATCCCATAAATAACCTAGCCATGTAGGCCTTTACAGGTGATAAACATCTTGAATTGGACTTGGAAGTCTATGAGGAGCCAATGCAGCTCACAAAGTAGTGGTGTTTACATGGGTGTACTAAGGTATGCCATAGCTTCACATGCTACTGCATCAGGGACCATTTGTAGCTTCCAAGTGGTCTTCAAGAGTAGCCCCACATACAGCATGTTGCAGTAGTCTAACCAAGAGGTAATGCACGAGTGACAACAAGTAGGGCCTCCTGATCCAAGAATGGGCACAATTGGGCAAGATGAATTTGTGCAAAGACTCTTCTGTCTGCAGGTGTATCAGCATACTAATGATACTATAACCCATGCCAACAAATAAATTTACACTTAATTAGCTTTCCACTGAACTTGTTGAGACTCATAAGTTTGATTACTTTTATTTCCTTCTGATATACTGTATATGTGGAATAATCTTTGCCTAGCGTGGATGATGTCCATTGATAATCCCAACTGAAAACAGAGTGCTTTATTTTTCTTAAAGTTCTTTCAGACATACTCATTGGTACAAAAACCATCAGTTTATGCCCCATAGGCAAACTGATACATGTAAACATTAGACTTTGATTTGAAATATACAAACAAACTAGATTTGGCCTACCACATATGAGACTGACAGAATGCCCTATAATTACTGGTTACTCTGTCATTCCTAAGAAAATTCAGATGATGTTATAAGGCACCTCTGTAGTATCATGCTGCTTTTACATCCATTAACATATAATACAGACACTCTATGTCAAAAAACAATTACTACAGAATCATTTTTTGCAAGCAATTTAAGGATATACAGATAGTCCAAAATCTGTCCCTTCTAACTCTGGAGATGGGAACGTAGAGAAGGTTTTGGATCCAAAACATACTTTCAAATCAGCTATGAAGTACTTGAAAAAAGACAGATAAAAGTTTTGGAGAGGTCTTCCAGTCCCCAGACTTAAATATTACTGAAAATTAGTAGGGAGATCTCAAATATGCAGTGCATACAAGGAAACCTACTAATATTTCTGAGCTACAAGAGTTCAGCAAGGAATAGTTGGGGAAAAAAATCCAAAAACAAGAATAGAAGGACTTTTAGTTGCCTATGGGAAACATTTGGAAGCTGTTATTTTTGCCAAAGGAGGTGTTACAGAGGATAGACTGAAGGATTGTCCAAATTTTTGTATTTGCCATGTTCACTGTTTTCTTAATTTGAATCTGTAAACGACTGTATACAAAATAGCATACATTTAGACTTGCAAAAATATATTTGTTTACCTTTGTATCCTGTAAAGGTGGTGCAATTTCACTGAAATATACAACTGGACCAGTGCTGCCTCAACTTTTGCATATGCCTGTATTGTTTTAAAGTGATTGGCACGTTGAAAATTGCCTAGTTGTCTAGAACCGGATTACCTAGATTGTGCCATTAACATTTGTTGACACTGTTTTAAAGTAAAAGACCAAGAGACAAAATACTATTGTAAATCCAATGTCCTGCTATATTTTTCATACCTGATTGCAAAGTCTCTCAGCAGTGTAAAACTTCTTTTATAAATGCTTTTAAAAAGTATGTTTACAAAGTTAAATTTTCATGTACTTTTTTAGTCAGCAATTACATTCATTATAGAATTATGAACATGAGACCTCCCCATTTGATTTAATTTGAGCTCCAAATGGAAAACATCGTTAAAGGCAAAGAAATGACACCATTATGAACACTAATTATTTGACTGGTATACATGCTGAGCTTTAGAGTTTGGACAATATTATTATACTTTGTCATAAACAAAAAGGGGAAACTATATCATACTGGAATGGAATTGTAGTGAAAATTAGGGCTATGTCAAATTCTTAGCTCAGAAAGTAGCTGCCTCATATTGATCTGCCAATTTGAGAAAAGTGAGTATCTGCCCTTCCGTTATGTAATATGGGGGGAAATGGATGCTTAATGTATGCTTATCTACAACTTTTCTTTTAGAGCAGAAGAAATGTTGGAATTAAGTTAGACTCTCATGAGAGGAGTAAACCCAACAAATTTCACAGAAATCAGTACACCTCCTCGTTTAGCAACTACACTGATGAGTGACTATTCACAAATATGAGTAATTAAATGGTAATCAAAAAATTCATTTTCCAACCAATGCATGCATTTCTGACCAAATTTCGTGCACCTGACAACGTATGCCATAATGAGAGTATCACTGCCGTAGCTGTACTAGAAAACTTTATCTGAATGAGACAGCAGCAAACAGTGATCTTCGCAGTCTGTCTGTCTCTCTCTCTCTCTCTCTCATATGTGTTCATTAGGAACCCTTTTGCTTAATGACCTGGTCACTGAAATGGAACTCGGTCACTAAACAAGGAGTGGGTGTACAGCAGTTTTCCAGGTTATACAGACCCATTGTTTCTAAGCCATTTACACAGTGCTCCTCTTTTCCTAGTGCAATTTGACCGAAACCCCCATTCATCCCCAGTGATACTTTGTAATATACTAACACATATACAGTTATCAATATAGCCAAAACAAAATGGGGCAGGAAAGAAAATATGCTTAGAAAGATAAGGAAGAAGACTTATATACAGAATGTACTTTTATTTACAATCATGTATACAGTTTAAAATGGTAGCAAATATAACTATTTGTGGAAATAATACCTAAGTGAAAGAGGAAGATCAGGTAAAGATAATACATGTAAAAATTTAAAAAAGATAAGGAATGTGGTAATGAAAGAAATGCAATGGGAAAGGAGAGGAATGGAAAATTGGATGGAAAAAAAAAAAAGGATCAAACGAATGGGAATAAATTGGTTGTTTGCAAAAAAAAAAAACAAAAAACAGACTACCATGCTGCACAGCATATGCAGCGCACTGTTAGTTTGGTTAATCATATCAATGGGAAAGGAGAGGAATGGAAAATTGGATGGAAAAAAAAAAAAGGATCAAACGAATGGGAATAAATTGGTTGTTTGCAAAAAAAAAAACAAAAAACAGACTACCATGCTGCACAGCATATGCAGCGCACTGTTAGTTTGGTTAATCATATAAAGTTTACACTGCTAAAATAATTGAGAAAAAAATGACTTGTCCATCCTGTTCCATTGCAACCAAAGAGCCATGTTGATAAAAATCAAGCTCATATGAAGCATTTGCTGTCTGTTGCTATGTTCTCATTTCTGGCTTTGTATTCATTTGTTCTTAAGGCTTGATCTTGGGTAGCCAGAATTAGCCCCTCTGTCTTTTTCTTCAATTTTCCTGCTCTTAGCCATTGCCAGGTCTTCTTGTTATCTGCTTTGCCTGCTAGGTTTTTTTGTGTACTGGCCATGTAATACTTTGCCTTGCCATGCCTCTTTTCTGTTCTTCATTTGGTCTTTCTTTTAGGCCAGTTTGGTCTCTTCGTTATTCAGTAAGCCTTCATGGTATACTAGCTTCAGTGCATCTTCATTGTCCTTCAGATATTCTTCCAACGCCCTTTTTCCTTCTTCAACTATCTGGTGTACTTTTAACATTGCATGCCCACCTCTGCTTCTTGGTAAGTAGAGTCTGTCAACATTGCTGCATGGATGAAGGGCATGATTCACTGACATTATTTTTCTGGCCTTCCTATCCAGGGCTTCTAGTTCTGCTTGAGTCCAGTCAACTACTCCAGCTGTGTATCTAATTACTGGAATTGCTCAGGTGTTGATTGCCTTGATGGTAATTTCCTCCACTGAGTTTGGACTTTAAGAGCTTCACTCTCATGATGTATTCACTATTAACCTTCTTCTTGACTTCAGTGTGCTTGATGCTGTCAGCTTGAAGGATGCCCAGGTATTTGTAGTGATAATCTTCATCCAGACTCTTGTTATTATTTTGATAGGACATCTTGATTCCTTCAGTTTTCACTATTTTTCCCCTGTTAATGGCAAGGGTGGCACATATGTCCAGTCCAAACTCCATTGCAAGATCTTGGCTATATATTCAGACAGTGATGAGCAGCAATTCTATTTCAGATGGTGTTTTTCCGTACAGCTTCAGATCGTCCATGTAAAGGGGGTGGGATAGCCTGGCAGATGAATTTGATGTTTGATAGCCATGGCCTGACTTGTTCAGTACATTATTGTTGCTGCTGCTGCTGCTGCTGCTGCTGCTGCTATTATTTCTCTAGGAGTTCAAGCAGGGTAAACAGTGGTCATCCTCTGATTTTACTCCCACAACAGCCTTGTGAGGTAGGTTGGTGTTAGAGAGAGTGA